AATAACCAAAACCAAAACAGTAATTATTGTTATAGTACAGCATAACAAATTAAATATATCCAGTCTCTTTGACAATATCTTACGGTACTTTCCCATTTTCCCTTATGGTATGCACTTCATGCTTCTTTTTAGCAAATTCAAATTGCCAGCAACCCTACTTGTGGTGACATATTATTTCTGATTTATTAAAGCTTGCCTAAGGATTCAGAAAGCAAAGTCAGCTTCAGACTATAGAGATCAGGCAGTGGTGATACACACCTTTAATCCCAGCAGTCAGAAGCTAGGAGATGGTGGCACACACCTTTAATCCTAGGACTTAGGAGTAAGAGGTAGATGGATCTCTGTGAGTCCAAGGCCACCCAGATCTAGACAAGAGTAAATCAGTCTAAAAGAGAATTATAGCTCACACCTTTAACCTCAGTACTCATGAGAGATATGTAAGACAAGTATAAGGTCTCAGAGGAAGGCATTCATTCTCCAGCCACATGGAGAACAGGAATGCCCCAGCCCTGTTACAGGTAAGAGCTCTCCGGTAACTTGGTTGCTTTGCACCCCTGATCTCCATGCTGAACCCCAATATCAGTGTCTGTGTCTTTTATTTCCATCTTACACCTACTCTTGTACCTTGTAACATTATGAAAACAGAAGAGAGATTACTTGGGCCAGTGAGATGTTTCAGTGGGTAGATGCACTTGTCACCAAGTCTGATGACCTGACCTTGATCCCCAGGATCTACTGGAGAACCGACTCCCACAAATTGTCCTTGACCACCACATGTGAACCACAGCATGTGTGTGTCCCCACATACACATAAATTAGTTTTTATTTGTATCATTGTATTTATTTATTTGTATATTTGTTGCTATATTTCATTAGACTTTTTCAGGTAGAGATTACTGAAGTACACCATATTTCTGTAACAGTGGATCTGACAGCCGAAATGACTACTGGCTAATGGGTGAGGAGCACACACAGTGTGGCCATTGTTAGGGATGTGTTTACAGGGTTTCACCACACTACTCAGAGTACTATCCAATTTTAAACCTGTGTTTATTCTGGGGTCTCCCACTGAATATTTTCAGACACAATTTAACTTAAGTAAAGTCACAGAAAGAAAGAAAAAAAAACCCTATGGAGAAGGGAGGCTATTGTACTGTCCCAAATGATTAAAATAAGGTAAATTCATTACCCCAATATATTGTGGATAAGTACTTTCCCTTTTTATTTGTGTCTTTCTTTGTCCCCAGATTCTATGTGACCATCTAAAAGGCATCCACCATTTAGAAATAACTGAAAACTGGGAGGCAAGCTAGCAGTGTTCATTGAATTGCCAGATTCATTGAAGACATTCCATTGAAGAGGAAGGAGGAAAGAGGCAAGAGCCTGAGAAAGATGGAGGCAGCAACTGCCAGGAGTTAATCCAGTACAAACTGGATTTACAGTCATATATTTTCTACCATAGGATTCTGTCTTCCACAGCCCACCCACCATTCCCAGCCCAGGTTGGGAGTCCCTGGCTTATAAGACTTATTTCCCAAAGGGCATACTTGTGGAAACTGAGTCAACCTGAAGTTATGTACACTTCCCAGGTTCAAGGACAAGCCAAGCTTGAACATTTAGGCAAGAAACTAAAAGTGTAAAGACTGACCTAACAGATGATGAAAAGAGAGAGAAAATTAAGCCTAGAACTCTAAAATTAATTCTAACTGAAATTCAAAAATCAGTTATGTGATTTAACACCATATCCCAAGGTCACAGAGATGACCCTGGTAAAATTGAATGTCACAAAGCAAGACCAATAATCATGGACCTTAGAAAGGGACAGTATGGCGGTATGGGTAGGCATGGGAAGTAGAGAGAGTTGGCGGAGGAGAATAGACATAAAGTATTATGTGCATGTAGGAATTGTCAAAGAACTAAGTAAGTAAAAATTGTAAGGCCAATAATACAGAAGGATGGAGCAGAGAAGTATGAGAAGAGCAGAAAATAGTCAACTAAAAAGCAATCTGGGTTCCTATAGCACAGCACCGGCTATTGGTTAAAACAAGCTATGATCATTTTCAAATGACTGCTATATAAAAATACTCCTGGCACATAAAAATGATTGACACCTAAGGCAACAGAAGTGCTTTCACTCTGGTTAGCTTGTCACACATTGTAGCCCTGTATCAAGTTATGAGAACACACTCTATGAAAATGTACCAGAGTTATATTTCAATAGCAAAATGGGGGAAAATAGAAGTTTAAAAGTAGCACATCAAAAAAATAAGTGGGAATAGAAAAAAAAAGCAACAAGTGTTATTTTCAATATAAGAAAAATCCGAAACCAACTGCACCGTCTTGTCATCCAGCTGCACTTTATGAGAAAAAATAAAATGGGTAAGTGCCAAAAATATTAGGAACTGTTTACAGAGATATTATTAGGAAGTTTCTGTTATGGAAAAACTACTGGAAAAATATTTATATAGTGTTTTCCTCTGCTAATAAGACGAGCAAGCAGGAATTATCTGCACACTGTCTTTTCTACAAGGGGAAGGAGTTAGGACCAAGAACAACTCAACCACAGAACATCGGCTCTGCTGCTGCCATTAGCAAGAAGCCCAAGTTTTCATAGAAATTATCTAACCTCTATATATTTCGTCCAAAATCATAAAATTGTAAGCAAACCAATGCAATGTGGAACCAAATATTTTTATTAACAGGAGAAAGCACTTACACACAAGCTGGGAGATCAGAAGCGTGGCAGGCTTCCAAGAGAGAAGTTTTCCTTTTACTTTCCTTAAATATCTCACCTGTGCCCATCCCCAGATGGGCGTGGACAATATTGTGGGCTCATCCCTACATAAAATAATTGCTGAGACCATATGACATTGTACTGAACTCACAGATCACAACAATCTACTAATGACCTCAATCACTGTCCCATCATCTCCAAAGCAGTCATCGCCAGTTCCCAGGATGGCAGCCACACAATTTAACGCAAGAGTGGAGTCTCCATCTCCACAGCAAGGCAATACTGGTGCTGCAAAGGGCCTAACAACCACACCTCTCTGCCACCACCAGGACCGTTATTTTATCCTGGAATCCCCAGCAGTGGGCGTCAGTGAATCCAGGATGGTTTGAGGCACTCCAATAATGGATGTGAGCTAAAGGGGATTATATAACACCAGTGTTACACACTTTGTGTAGCTATTGATGTGGACTTGAGGAGAGTACACTGCTATGTAAGGGCATCAGCGGAGCAGTTTCTATGAGTACTGGCAGAGGCAAGAAGGATATTGTCCTTGCAGATATTAAACAGTGCATTTGAGTTTTACCCTATGTCTCTCTACCTCTGGATCAATGAGATTTTGTTTTGGTTTTGGCTTTTTTTTCCTGACCCATCTTCTAGTTCACAAATTTCCTTCTACTATTTGTTTATTCTGATGGTAAATTATTTCAATGAATTTTTTATTTCAGTTGGCATTGTTTTTAGAACTCTGGAATTTTATTTTTTCTCTCTTTTCCAATCTGTTGGATCAGTCTTTACACTTTTAATTTCTTGCCAAAATGTTTATTCATGGCTGGTTCTTGAACCTGGGAATTGCCATTGCTTTATAGTCTGAACCTGATAAATCCCATATTAGAAGTGTCAGAAAGTCTTCTTGTCTGTTGTTTCTATTCATGATGGTTTATGCACACTCTTTGACTGTGTGCTGGACAGTGTATTTGAAAATACTGTAGAAATAATTTGATACACATTGTCATTTCCCCAGAGATTATTGATAGAAATAAAATTATTTTGTCTATGCCAGTAGGATGTGATGTGGGATAACCCTTTTGTATACTGTGACTATGTTTTATTCCCATTGGTTAATAAAAACTGATTAGTCCCATAGCAAGGCAGGATGGAGTCAGGCAGGAAAGCCAAACTAAAATTACAGGGAAAGGGAAGGGCAGAGTCAGGGAGAGAAGCCCATGAGCCATTGGAGCAGCAAGACGTACTAGAAAACAGGTAATGTCATGGAGTCACACGGTAAAAATACAGGCTAATAGAAATGGGTTAATTTAAAGGAAGGAGCTAAGCTGGGCGTGGTGGCGCATGCCTTTAATCCAAGCACTCAGGAGGCAGAGACAGGCAGATCTCTGCAAGTTTGAGACCAGCCTGGTCTACAAGAACTAGTTCCAGGACAGCCTCCAAAGCTACAGAGAAACTCTGTCTTGAAACTCCCCCCCCCGCAAATAAATAAATAAATAAATAAATAGATAGATAAATAAATAAATAAATAGATGTAGCTAGTTAGTAATAAGCCAGAGCTAACAGGTCAAACAGCTTGTAATTAATATTAAGCTTCTGCGTGATTTCTTGGGATTGGGTGGCTGGGAAATAAAAGCACCACCTCTATTTACAGAACGTGTGGTGTGTGTGTGTGTGTGTGTGTGTGTGTGTGTGTGTGTGTATGGGTGTGTGTGTGGTAGTAGTAGTAGTCAGCCAAGCGCGTGCGTGCGTGCGTGCGTGTGTGTGTGTGTGTGTGTGTGTGTGTGTGTGTGTGCGTGTGTACTGTGGACACTAGATGTTGACATCAGGTGTCTTCCTCTATCATTCTCCACTTTATTTTTGGAGACCAGGTCTCTCGCTGAGCCTGGCTCTCACTGACTGGCTAGATTGACTGGTTAGTGAGCCCCCGGAACCTGTCTCTCTCTGTCACTTCCCAGCACTGGGCTTATGGAGAAGTGATGCCACATCTAGTATTTTACAGAGGTGCTGGGGATCCAAACTCAGGTCTCCACGCATGCCCAGCAAGCACTTTACCCATTGAGCCACCCTCCCTCGGCCAAGTGGTGTTAAAATAATCACAAGTCTCTGCTTTCTTTTTTCCCTCACCCTGTCCCCTTTATCTCTGGCAGTGCTGGGAATTGAACCTAGGGCCCCATGCACACCAGGCAAGCACTCTACCACTGAGCTCCAGCTCCAACCCTCAGCTTAGTTTTCTTATATGATCACACACTTTTCTAAATAGTAAAAGTAACTCAGAGAGATCCCTTTATTTAGCATCAATAGCTTATGAATTGATGGAATTCCCACTACATCATGTCATCCTTTGTAACTCTTGGGGTTCATTACACATATCCTTCGGTCTTCATTAAACTCTTCCTTGAGCTGCATATATTTCTCCCAGTCAACGATAACATCTTGTCTAGAAGGGTTCAGATGAAGTACTTGGGTGTGTTCATGTGAAAATGATGGTTGTTTTCATAATTGTGCCCTTCTTTGTAGGAGCCAAATCTAAAAGAGAAAAAAACTGACATTGGAAAACTGTACAGAAAAGAGGGCTTTCTTATGGGAAGTGTCAACCGTAAGTTATAGTACTTTTATCTCCTTATCACAACATGAGATCAGTCTATAAAACAGCAAGTGATGAATCAAATGAAATCAAATAAAACAGGAATTACAAAGGATTTGTGGGAGAGGCAGGTTGACAATCTTAATTCCAAAGTATTTTCCCTGGTAGCAGATCATTTCAAAGGCACAAAGGTTCAGGATAATGCTGCTTGAAAAATATGTGAGTTTTCTCTCTAGTCTTGGGTTTGAACACTATCTGCCTTATAGGTACCTGAGGGTTTATCCATGTGCATTTGTGCCTATATATAATCTGTCTTGGCTTAGATCTTCTAAATTGCCCACAAGTGCTCCTGTGTTGCAAATTCCCTTTGCTTCCCTGAAGGATTAGTAACCACACAGTCTTGACCAATGTGATGTAATACTCAAGGCAGTGAGAGCAAAGACCACAGCAAGTGAATCATGGACTTTCTTTACTACATTGGCAGCCATGACAACTAGCTAGTCTCTGTACTGTAGATGTCAGGAGTCTGTTTACTTCCCTAATCTAAGGGGATAGGGAAGAAATAGTAACACTTTGCAGAACCTTTCATTTTTCTTTACCTAAAACTATATCCTCAGAAAGTAAGAAAGAATGTGACCAAGGACATAAGAAAGAGATTCTTAAAGTCTTTTTGCAATAATGAATCAATGTGCAACATCAACTAAACTGATGATTCAGTACATCCATACAATGACTAGTATGCAATCATGAAAATGTTCCAAGGAGATTATTGTGGAAGAAAGTCCATATACACTACTTGGATGCATAGGATCAGATCCACAAACAGGATACACACATGCATACATGTGTAGGGAAATGTGGATGTAAGTAGAGATATATCATTGTATATTTTTCCTACATGTATTAGGAGTTAATAATATGCATTATTGCATGGCATATAAATATATACAAGCATGAGGTCAGCAAGATGACAAATTGAGACTTTCCAGTGCTCATACCCTCACAGAAACATCACTTTAAACAACCATCCACATGCAAAAATGCCTTTGCAAAGGTTGAAGAACTCAGGTTAGTGATAAAAGCACTAAGGAGAAGTATACATCTAATAATTTATTAGCAGGTGTGTGATATACAAGATGTGTGAATTGCTAGATTAATAAACTGGCTACTTCTATAGCACGTGCACACTGCTGTACCCATGTCCATATCTTGTCAGGCCAGACATTATCATAGCTCACAGGGTCCTTGGACATATAAGCTTGTTCAATACTTTTGTCCTTCCATAATGTAAAAAGAATCTTCTGACACAATGAAAGTAGTCAGCGAAGGAGATGAAGCTCCCAGGTCACTGCCAGCTTGACTTCTTCACGTTCTATGACACAAGTATGTGGTGTCCTTAGCAATAAGGTCTTACCATCAAATAAAGAAGGGGAACCAAAAGCAACAGCAACAGCCTGTAATGCTTGGGAGTCTATGGGGCTCTCACGACTAACAGCTCAAAAAGATGTAACCCATGCCTGGCACTGAGCTTTTTATTTTATAGCCTATGGGTGTTTGGGAGAGGCATTGTACCACTGTGATATGGTACTTCTGTTTAAACTATGTATTAGGGAGCTCCTGCAGTAGCAGGTCTCCATATCAATCTTCTGAGGGTCTTTAGTGTTAGTTGATGTCTTCTGGGGGAAGGAGAGGAAGTTTTCTTCAGGATTACACTCCCTGAGAGGCTACCTATGCTCCAGTAGACGGCCCTCCAGCCCCACACATATAGGCTGCACCAAGTGGGCTCAGTGATTTTAAAGACAGAGAGAACACATGGTATTGGGAGGGAAAAGTGATGGGGAGAGAGAGGTATTGGAGGGGAGGAGAAAAGGGTAGATATGATCTTAGCAGAGCTATAAGATGTTTCGTGTAGGCCTTGTGTTACTAGAAAGAAAAGTCTTCAGTAGATACATCAAGTCAAACAGAATCAGAGGAAGGATACAATAAAAGAACCATAAAATAACCAAAAACAATTGTTCAATGGCAGCTGTAAGTTCTTATCTATCAATTACTTTAAATGTAAATGGATCAAAGTCTCCACCCATGAAGCAGATTACAATCAAATGAGGTTTTGTTTTGTTTTGTTCTTTTAGTTCCAACTATTAGCTGCTTGAACAACTCAATTTAGCTTTAATAGCAAGCACAGCCTGTAAGTGAAGGGCTGCAAAGATACTCCATTCAAATGACAACTAAGAGTGAACAGGGTGGCTAGGCCTATAGCAGATAAAATAGACTTTGAATCAAAAACTGTCACAAGAGACCAAGAAGGTCATTATATAATGACAAGGGAGTCAGTTCATCAATGGATTGTAACAATTGTAAGTATATGTATACTCAGGGTGCCTAAGTATTTAAAGGGATGCTATAAAAGAAGACATTAATAGGAGAAGGAATTCAATAGCCATTTTCAGCAACAGATGCAGGACAAAGCAGATTCAACACTGCACTATAGCAAAATGTACTCAACAGATACATACAGAATATTCCATTATGGTAGCACATTAAATATTCTTTTCAAGCTCACACATGGAACATTCTCCAGAACTGATCCTTTTGTTAGGACCATAAAATAAATTCAGTATCACTTGAATCATATCAACTATCCTTTCTAAACACAGTATCCAGAGGTAGAATTGTAGAACTCACAAATACGCAGAAATTAAAACTACAACTCACAAATGACCAATGACTCAAAGAAGTAATAAAAAAGTAAAAAATTAAAATATCAATGTGAGTTAAATATAAATACAACATACCAAAACATACAGATATAGTGAGAGTGGTTTTAAGAGAAAAGTCTATAGTGATAACTATATGAATTATGGGGAGATGATTTAAGGAGACAATTTTATGCCTTAAAGCTAGAAAAAGAACAAACCATGCCCCGAGTCAATGTAGGAAATAACAAAGATCAGAGCAAAATAATGAGAGGATAGAAAAACAAAAGATCAAAGAGACTGAGGGTCAGCCTCTAAAAGAGAATAAAACCTGATAAACCTTTTGATACACTTACTAACAATAAAGAGAAACCTCAAAGAAAATTATGATAAAAGATATCATAGAAATGAAAAAGACTGCCAACATCTACCACAAACAATAATTCATCAACAAACTAGATAACCTAGAAATTCACAGGAATATGCAACATACCAAGATGAAATTGTGAAGAAATGTAAAATATAAACAGCTTCATAATTAGTATAAAGACTGAGTCTGTTGCCCACATTCCACCCCCACAAAAATCAACTCAAGACCTGGAGCTTCTATGCAATATTTAAAGAAATGTCAATGCCAGCCCTCCTCAAACTCTTCCAAGAAATTGAAAAAAGACAGATCCCTTCAAATAAATGCACTCTGTTAGGTCAGAATTTTGTAGTCAGAAAATCTGACAGAAAAGCACAGGAGCTAAATAGACATTTCTCAAAAGCAAAACAAGCAAACAAAAACCATCCAAACATCCAAATAGTTTTAGGGGGTGATGGCTGCAGATCACTAACCAAGGAAGCAGGTAGAATCGCAAGGAAGGGGACGGTCCTGCAAGATGGCAGGCTAATCTGCCTCTCCATGACCTGGGTAAGGAGAAGGGTCAGGCATAAGAAAGAATGCCCTAAGGCTGGCGCTATAGCTCAATTGGGAGAGTGCCTGCCTTGCAAACCAGAAGCCTCGGGTTCAGTACTAGTACTGCAAACACTTAGCATGGGACTCTAGTTGTGGCAATGAAGAGGTGGATGTAGACCGATCAGGGGTTCAAGCTCATCCTTGGTGACACAGTGCAGCCTGGGATCTGGATCCTGAGAGAGGAGGGGAAGAGGGTAGAGGGATGAAGGGGGAAGGGGAAGGAGGAAGAGAGGGGGTACCAAAGAAAGAAAGAGATTTGGACATTCACGAAGGCAGTGGTAGAACAGCTGAGAAGTGCAGAGGAAAGAGTGGTGACAAAAGGGAGAGTTCATGCTGAACCTAGCTCCGAGTGGCTTTCCATTGGAGGACGGGAAACGGAAACCTCGTGCCAGCGGCAGCCAGGTGGCCCTGGTGGAAGGCGAATTAATTGGTAGTCTTGCCCTCAGTCATGACCTCAGTGCTCACAAAGCCTCAAGTCTAGTTGGTGAGATGTTGGCTCCTCTCACCATCTAGATGGGTCAGCAGCAGAGAGGAGTCCTACTGTGCCACTCTGTATGGTTGGGAGGGGTGGGGGCCGGTGTCCGGGGACCTATTGTTTAAAGCTAAGCCAACGTGAGCAGCTGAGAGCGAGGAGCAACCACAAGCCAGAAAGCTTGAACTGAACTACACAGAGCTTCAGTTTGAATGACAGCCTGGGGCTGGGCAGGGAGGGAGGAGGAGGGTTGTGGAAAGCAAGGAGGGAGGCAGAAGAAGGAAGGAGGCAGAAACTGGCAAGCCAGAAGGTACGGTTGCAGGACACGCTCGAGGAAAGGGAGCCCCAGGCCCAGAGGCTGGGATAGATGTCATCAACAGAGAATAACTCTGGACCTTGATGCTGCTGAGCCTGAGGTCAGCGTGTGGATTGCTGGGGCACCTGTCTGCTACTGACTTCTGTAGATTGCAGAACATTGGCACTCCAGTAGAATACTTGACATCCACAGCCTCATTGCCCAGGGGTGATCAGTTCTTGTGGGCTTTGGAAGTATGGAGATCTCAGTTCTGGGGATGCTTCGCCTACAAGATGTCCTCCAGTTAGAATACCCACCATGGGAGATAGGGGGGATGGAAGGGGAAGGGTGTGAGGGGGTAGTCTTGGGGAGGCTAGGGAGTGCCAGAGAACCTGCCCAGTCCACAGACAGCACAGCTAAGCGTGATCGGCAGCAGCCCCTCCCCTGGTACCCAAGAGAAGCTATTAAAGTGAAAGGACTCTGTCAGATATCAGACACTTATCCAAGATGGACTCAGC